CGGAGCAAACTACAAACTTTTATATAATGTTGTCAGAAACATCACAACTCCAAAGTCAGAGGAAAGGAATTGCACCTCACTGAGTATAATGTATCATAACCTACAACAAAGATAGTAAGTGAAAGGCTTAATTGGGGATTAAAAAAAATTGATTTGATGCCAAAATAAATCCTACCGAGGTTCAAGAAAAAGATAAATCACTAATACATAGAACATGGCATGCTTGATGCATCATACCATTACCCATCAATAATATTGCTGAAAAGGCATGACAAAAACAGATGCATATATTAGCAATCAAACGCTTGCGTGAGACAAATAGAAAAGTTTAGTATCACACTCTGTAATATAAAAAGATATATGTTGCCTGATGTCCCCATGAAAGAGCAACTCCACGAAGTCCATGCGGGAGCATGTGGCCTTGACTGAGATAGTGGGTGGTGTGGGGAAGTCATACTTGTTGATCGAGATGGACTTCTCAGCACTTGTCACCCCTGACAACAGTAGGCTATGCACCATAGCCTGCACTCACATTAAATGCCTGGCCGGAATGTGACCTCACACGGCCTCTGTGAAAGTTGTCTGCACGCGAGGCATGTGTGCTGAGGAGGCCCGTGTTCGGCACACCTAGCACCATCCCAAAACGTCATTGCTGACGTTTTTTGTAGATCTGGTTTAACGAGGATAGATTTACTTGGCAGTAAACCTACACAAAGATATGCATGCCGTCACGCCATTGGCTCCTTCCGGATGTTGTAGTACTAATTGTGAAGAGGATTTTAGTGTAGCTTCTTATTGTACCGAGAGTTTAAAATTTCAGCGAAATTTTGCATATTTTGGTGGGGTTCGAAATACTTGCAACCCTGAAATTTTGAGCCAAATTCAAACTAAATTTTAAATTAGCTTAAAATCATTAAAAAATATTGATTTTTGAAACTCAAAATCCGAAATAAGTTCCGAATTTCCGAAATTTTGCATATTCCGGTGACGTCCAAAAAATTTCCATGACCGAAATTAGAAACCTTACCAATGTGGCTTTTTGGGCAGGTTCATCAGTTGTAGTTACGCTCGGGGTACCCCGGTTTTAAATACACCGACATGCGTCGTGCACAAAATCAAGAGGGGCAACGAAAAAAGAAAGTTTTTTCATGCTCCAGTAGCTACCGTAGTCTTCTACTATCAATAAAACCAAAAATAAATCAAATGTCAGTGAGTCAGATCTAAAAGTCGGGAGTTGTCCAAATGCATGTCATGCCCATCAGTCAACACCAATGGGTTGCCACTCTCGGTCCCCATTCCATTTGTAAATAGAAGTTTACACTTATAGTGTTCGATGACTTGTTTTCGTTTTAATATCAAAAGATTATTTTGTTAGAAAACAATTCTTTAAAAAAATTGCTCAGAAAGCTCATTCATCTAGAAAAGAATTGTGGCTAGTGTAGTAGAAGTTACTAGCTTTTTATTTGTCAGACTACAGCCCTCAAAGATGGCTTAACACTTTATTATTAGCAGTTTTAAGCAATGTACAGAGATAAGTTTACCCATTTGGAAGGAGATGGATTTGACTCATTCCTTAGGAAGACTTTGAGAAAAGATTCATCAGGAGTTGCTGCATGGTTATACTCTCTATGCTGCAACAACATTGTCTAGGTATCTTGCTTGGCAGATTTGTTTGACAGAAGGCCTCCTTTCTTCCTCACTATTCTCCAGTAAACCCGCATTGAGCATAACTTTGGTAGTATGGATAACATTTCTTGACATGAGACTGAGCTCTACTCCTGACTTGAAATGAAATGCTCGCAAGTTGGAATGACATAACAACAGAAGAAGATGCATTTCACAACATCATTAACACGAAGCATAATATCCTCCAATTTGAATACAGTACCCAACAATGACATTAAAGATGAACTGCATCTACTAATTAACATCACCCAAATAGTTTGAGATGCAACTCCAAAATAAGCACGAACTGCCTTGAATGCACCATTTGTTTCTCATCAGCAGCAGTGGACCTAATCACACCAATGCGTCGGACCAAGGGGAGAGCTTATCGATGCGGATGTGCAGGGGAACTTCCATGGATGCCCCGTCTCCTGCTGCTGGCACCAGGTACATTGGCGGCACTGTCAGGAATGTGGGCTCGCCCGCAGCGACCACGGCGCCGGGCGATGAGATGCTCCTCATTTGCATGTCCACGAGCACCACGTCCTCCTTGCCATAGTTTGCCACTGCTGCCGGGGGTGTCTCCAGGTTGACCCACATCTTGCACGTGAACCGCGGCCGCCTCGCCGCTCTCGCCCTAGCGCACACCACAGATACGGCGGTGACGCCAGCGCCGAGCGCGCCCACGGTCTTGAGGAACACGCAGTTGTCGTCGCCCAGGAGCACCAGCCGCATGGTCGACACCGGTAGCTGAAGCTTGTTGACCTTGCCGTACTGCACGGCGCGCATCGGCACCAAGTGGACAGTGCGGAGATGACCGGCGAGCGCCTGCGGCGCGCCGACGTAGCCGCACTCGGGCTAAGTGCACCGGCAAGGCGCGTACGGGCATACTTTCTGGTGCTCGGTGACCTCGTGGTAGGTCACGTACCACTGGCAGCCGACGTTGGGGCACCCGATCCTGGTGGAGGACACCAAGGCGTCCAGTGTAGGGCAGGGGTCGAAGAAGCCACTGCCGTCCACACATGCCTTGCACTGCCTGAAGGGCAGCAGGGCCACACAGCCGCTGCAGGCCTGGTGCCCCGCTTTGCACTGCAGACAAGCATGCAAAAAATCGGAGATGGCCCGTAAATTAGCACAAAAGAATCGATCTATCACCGGCACCAATCGAGGAAGAAAGAAGGAAACGGATAGAGGAACCTGGAAGACCGGGGGCTTGAAGGGGAGGGTGCAGAGGGGGCAGTGGAGCACTTGCTTGTCGATCCTCACGGCGAGTTCCACTCGCTGGATGTACGCCGCCCCAACGATGGAGCCTCCATCTCCTCCACCGGCCGCCTCTTGCTTCATGTGGCCGTCGGGTAGATCCAGCCAGGCCTTCTTGGAGCTCTCGTCGGCCTTGTCAGGCGAAGCCCTGCTCCTCCTCTCGGCGGCCGTGGCAGCGCCTTGCATCTTGGCTGGCCTTTGGGGAAAGAAAACTCCTGTGTCTGTTTCTCACGCCAAACTTTTTCAGGAGGTGGGTGAGGAGTAGAGCAGAGATCTGAGAAGAAAAGTTGCCTAGGCAGCCACACTACACTATAAATGCTTCCTCATTGTGGTTTCCATTCCCAAACTAATATGGTATAGATATAAGGCGTGCTGTTAATCAATTTCATTATTGCTAATTTATTCATACATTAATGTTGTCTTTCTTTTAAGTACCTACAAGTGTGCAATAAAAAGGTTGACCATTGGAGATCCATGTTATTTTTAAAAAAATCGAGGACATAAATATAAGCACATTGTTTTTTTTCGTAGCTTCCTGCATAATTGATACACGGCGGAGTACTTTTGACTCCATCGCCAGATTATAACACCACCAAACACGTGGGAGTCCATAAAAAGAAAATGATACGTGTGTAAGCACAAGGGACACGTGTGACCAAATAGTACAAAGGAGCACACAAACGCCACACAACTTTTCACCTAGATCACGATACATTCCGCCTTTCTCACTGTTATCGATAGACACATACGACATCGCTGATGTGCTTGCTGCCACTAGCAAATAACAACAACATGACCACAAGCCTCCAAAAGATCCATGGAATAGGTAGTAGATTTGGGAGGCCCCGGACGCCAAAAATCTTGATTAGCTGCTTGCATGAAGTACGAGAAATAACCCCTTGATTCGGCAGATGCCATCAAGAAGCAATGAGCAATCCATTTGTCACCACACCATGCAACCACCTAGTCCAGAGACTTCTAAGCAGGCATCACTATATCAATCAGGTAATTTGCCATCTGTGGATTACAGACGGCAAAGGACTAAAAACAGATGGCAAAGATTTTGCCGTCAGTCAGCAGACGGCAAAGATAAGTTGGCAAAGAATTCTTTGCCATCAGCATTTCGTCGGGCAGACGGCAAAATCTTTGCTGTCAGCAAAACTTCATCTTTGCCGTCAACCAAATAATAGCATACGGCAAAGAAAATTATTTCATTTAAAAAATATGAACCATCAGTCGAGGTGCAGAGGTCGTAGTTGCTCGATGGCATAGACAAAAAAATAACAACGATTTCACCATCTACAATTCAAGAATGTATGACAACAGAACGGATTTTACAAGATATGGATACTCTATTTGCATAATATATCCATCATCACAATATTTACACAGAAATACACTATTTACAATATGAAGTTCCCCATTTACATGACGAACAAATGAATGAATCAGCACACGTGAAAACTACAATATTTCACAAAAAAAGGATGCACTGGCCCTTGCCAGCTGCTAGATCCGAGCGTGCTGCAGGGTAGCTCCGGCTAGCTCTTGACGAAGTTGCGGCGTGGCCAGGTCGAAGGGCGAGCTCTTGACGAAGCAGGGTCGCGGTCAGGGAGGAGGATCCCGTGGCAGGGAGGAGAACGAGGATCCCGCGGCGGCCTCCTGCTCGCGCGGCGGCGAGCTCTTGCGGCGCTGTTGACATGGAATTTCGCCGAAGTAAAATACAGAGGGATATCTATTATCAAAATTTGATAAAGTCAAATTATATAAAAAAAATGGCGAATTGCCGAGCAGACCGAGGAAATGACTATGGTGAATTTTGGGTCGCTCAGTATGAAATAGCGGTCACAAAAATAAAATAAAGAAAGAAAGTGCCACTTATAGCTGCAAAATTCATGTATCCTGTGAAATTATAATTAGCACGCACGCATGCCGCCAGTGACGGCGACTTCCCGATGTCAACAATACATTGTCATGAGGCGGCGCTAATATCTTCAAAATATTAGACTGCATGAAATGTCAACATAAAATCGTCGCCGGCAGCACTTATTTGGTAAATATTAAACCATGCAATATACATGGGCATTATTTCATCGCCGGTAATAAAATATCATGGCAACAGAGAAAAAGAGACAAAGAGACGTATAGAATTCGTAATGAAATATGGGTACGACGGATATAACAACACGCATGAAAAGAAAAATACATTTTCCATGTATATATGGCATGCACGTTGAGAAATAATTCTTAATGAGCCGTCAGTAATTAATTAGGCCTGTCCCAGTGGAGAAATGCTTACTCGTAGCGAACAAGCGTAATTGTAATTTCGATACAAGGCTGCATGCACGTGCTAAGGCCACTTTTTGATTAAAAGCATGCAAATGGACTATGCCTAGGCCCACATGGGTGATTAAAGTAATAGCGTTTTAGCCCATAGCGGCCAATTACAGGACCAAGCCGATCCAAATCTCAGTCAATAAGTGATTAAAGAAATATGATTAAAGAAAAGGAAGAGACGCTCCATCATCCCACGATCTCCCACGATGCACACGATCTCCAGAACGTGGGCACGCTTCTGGCCGGACGAGAGTGTTGCTCCCTCCTATAAATAGCACCAGAGGGGCTGCTCTCCATTGCCTCCTTTTCCTAATCTCCGTTGTGCTGCCGTTGCTGCTGTTGTGCTGCCGCTGCTGCTCTCAACCACGCACATATACTGTTGCTGTAGAAACAAGCTCGTATACGCTGTTGCTGTAAGGCCGCCGTCCGTCTAGGAGCGTCAGGAAGGTAGTCCAGGTGGGAATCATGATCCTCCTCTAATCTTCTTGCTCCTCCCCATATCTCTCATCATATTCATCTTTCGTCTTGGTTGATCATTGTGATACAAACCAAGAAGTATGCCTCATGTATCCTCATCTTGACATTTTGCCTTGGCTGATCATCGTGATACGAGACAAAGAGCAATTATGTTTAGGAGAGGAAATTTTCCCTTGGCTGATCATTGTGATACAAACCAAGGAGCAAACGTCATATAGCCTCATCTTGACATTTTGCCTTGAGATGTAATTAACAAACCTGTTATGTAAATGTAAGAGTTCTGGAAATAAAGTACCCGCAATGCCTGATCTCTATTTTATTTATGCATTTATGCGTTTAAATTTATTCACTCTGTATCAATGATGTGGACGCGTATTTCACGCCCGCCATTTTCCCGTCATCAGATTCTGGCACACCTGGTGGGACCTATTTCTCCCCTCATCTTCGAATTCCAACATAGGATTGCAACATATGAATTTCTAAAGTACATGAAGTATATAAACATTGCATACAGTAAATATACTCAAAGAAAACTGATATAAAGTTTTCTTTATTCAAAGGTATGGATGGTCAAGTGCCACAGTCGGTCACGCTCCGCATTGGAGACATTTGGCTTGATGTGCCAGTTGGTCCATGTGCGGCTTCAACAAATCAGCATCTGGATAATATGACTGCATCACCAACTGAACATGACCAAGGAATGGAAGTCTTCTCTCCACTCAAGTTTGGGGGAAGTATGAGGGCAGACAGAGAAGGAAAAGGGAAGACAATGGACAAACTCCACTATGAGCAACCTCCGGATGGGGGCAATACCATGATTATATTTCCCTCCTCATCGTTTCTTCATGGAAGGACGTCAAAGGTTCAGAATAAAGTTCAAGTTGATGCATCAGAGCCTATTCTTCCTCGGGCCGATAAATCCATTGGAGAATGCTCTGAGAGGTTCTCAAGTTTTCCCTTGAATGCAAGCAAAAGCACCACAATTCCCATGGCTATGAAACATGTCATGTGAACCCAACATCAACATTGTCCAGTCCCTTGTTGTCATCAACACCCATTGTATATAATTCCTCTCTGACTTTGTTTGAGTCGATATGCCCTCAATGTCAGCGAAGAAATTCTCGCCATGTTAACCTTCACAATATTAAGGTCGGCAAAGTCTGTATCCAATTCCCCAAGAGTGTGGACAAAAATCACCCAGATTGCCTTTTTCATATTAGCAAGGGCGGTATAGGAATCCATACTACGGTGACCAGCAACCCTTCAACAGTTGTCGCCTTCATCCGGTTCATCTGGAAAAAATATCTTAATCATTCCAAGTGGCGTGTTGCCGGCCTTGATTGTGAATACACTAGATATGTCCACAGCAAAGAGCGTAAGAATCTTCCACTTGAGCAACAAGTTTCTCTCTCTAATCAAGAGCCACAATGTGCTACTGTCTTGCAGCTTTGTGTGGGCAAGCATTGCCTAATTTACCAGCTATACCAGGCTCATGCCAGGAGTTTTATCCCTCCACTTCTGCACAACTTCCTTGACAATGACACAGTCAAATTTGCGGGTGCCGCCATTGGCAATGACATCAAGAATCTCGAGTTCTATAACTTGGGTATCAGAAAACCTGTTGATGTGCAGGGACGGGGTATCAAGGTTCATAATCAAAAAGCTGGCAACTTGGCTTCATTGGAGAAGCTAGCAAAGAAGGTTGCAAACATAAC